ATTTCTGCAAGAGGTGTGCCGACCAAGGCTACAACGTACACAACTGCAGCACTACAAGGATCAAGCCCCGCATGCGCCTCAGATGCTGCGGGCACAGCCACAAGGCTCCTTGGCCGCGATAGCGTCAAGCTTCGCGTTCGTTCGAGGATAGCGAAGGTGGCCGGTGAATCGTGGCGGTGGAACAAAAAGAAAGAGCAGGCCCAACGGAAATTTTTTCGGTTTTCCTGTCGAAGTATCCTATCTGACCGAAGACGGGGGAAGAGCTCTTTGACGAAATCGCATCGTTTTTTTTTTGACACCACGTCCGTCGGTGTGTGAAACGTACGCTTCCGAATCTGTGCTGCTTTGAGTGCACGTTTTGGATCCTGTTCAGTTCTACTTTATTCCCTGCGGAGGCTTTTGTGTAGAGCGAGTCGCGGGGGGTGCTTTCGTCCGACGGCTACCCCCCCACTTGAGTCTGCCGCCGAGACCTTCGTCAAGCTCTAAGCACGAACCATGCCCCCTCGAAGCTCCGCTGACTGCTGCCTTTCCTCCCCCTTTACTCCCCTGTGTTCGTCTGCTGAATGCACACCCAAAACCCGGCCCCCCGGCAATCCACCACCGGCCAAAGAGAAAGAAAGGAGAAGCGGGCGTCGCGGCCACCCTTGGTTTCCAGGTGACGGATGATCGAGCACCCGGGGTCACGAACGCCTGGGCAGGGTTTCCGGTGGCGGCGGCGGTGGTGGCGGAAGGGGTGGCTGACTCGGCCGGGGTGGGGACTGGCGCTAGCATTTTGAAGGTAGGGTTGGGCGGGTTACAAATTATGGTATTTAGTTGTGCCTCCTGTTTGTCTTCGATTTGTAGGGGGGGAGGAATGGTGTTCCTCTCGTTGTAATCGATTCATTTGTTGTTGTTGCTGTTGTTTGTGTGCCTCCTGTTGTATTCGATTTGTGTTTGGTAGTTGTTGCTGTTGATGGTGGTGGTGGTGGTGGGCGTTGGGGGTTGGCTTCTATCCTTCACCTAAAGACGGTTTCATTTACCCCACAAGTGGAGCGGTGCACGACACTACCTTTTTCTTTTGCCGCCCTCCTCATCGTCCCCGCAGGTGGAAGACTCATCCATGCGGGGACGGTCAGCCTCTGACGTCACGAAAGCTATGTACGCCGCCCTCCTCAAGAGGACAGGCAAGCACGGCAAGTCGGCGGCGACGGTGAGGCTGGTCATCGTCACGCCACCGTGGTCGGCGTCGGCACCAACGCCAGGCGGAGGAGGAGTCGACAACAAGGCCGGGGCCTTTGCTCCCGCGAGCCCTTACGACGGGGTGGGGGGTATGGCGTGCTTGGGCCGGGAGGTGTGTTGTTGCTGTTGGATTTTTCCTCTTTTCCACTCGGGATGCTCGCGTAGCGGTTGTTGTTGCTGTTGGAGTTTTTTCGCGTAAGGATGCTCGCTCGACAGTTGTTATTGCTGTTGGATTTTGCCACTGAGGATGCTCGCGTGACGGTTGCCATTGCCGTTGGATTTTTCACGCAAGGATGCCCGCGTGACGGTTGTTGTGGCTGTCGTCGTAGTTGTGGGTGACCGCTGCCTTTTGGCTTTTTGCTTTCCGTACGCGTTCGTTTCGATGCCGCTTCATCACACCCCCCGGTGCTGTAGAGGGCAGTATTGCGCCTCACCCTGGTCGTTTGTCGAAATAAAGGTAACCCTGACCCTGACCCTGACCCTGACCCTGACCGCCGTAAGCGTCGCGGAGGAACGGTTGATGCTGCTGTGCCTACTCCCGGCCGGAGCTACGCAGTGGAGAGAGGCGACCGTATCCTCTACGTAGAGACTGCGAGCGGCGGCACGAATGACATGACCAGAACAGTGGAAAACAACCGTCATGCGTCCGCGTTTTTGCACATGCTTCGTTACCCGGTCAGCTAGAATACCTCGTGTTAAGAACACCTGCACAGTAGTACTTGTGGAGACGAAGATATGCCCGTATTTTTTCACGCGGTTTGTTTCAGGTACATGCACCCGAACTTCTTCTGGCGGGCCCTGAGAGATGATGCTGTACCGCCGACTGCCGTCATCTCCAAGAGCGAGAGCGCCGAATTTTCTAGAGAGGTTAACACGCCACGAAATCATTCTCTAAAACGACGCATGTGTTGCGCATACCCAACTACGCTCCGGAGTAATTGTGCGTTTTTTGTTCAATCCCTTTGTCACCCTACCCACCCTCGCCACCCCTGGCTCCGTCCTCTCGAGGACGTGTGGTGAATTGAAGGCATGCTAGAAACTTTAGTGCCCCCCCCTCCCCCCCCTGTGCGCGCGCACGGCGCATCCCCCCCACGCTCACGACTGCGATCAGAGACACGAAGGCCGGGAGTTTGTAGAGCTTTGCTGGTCGGTGTTGATGGCCCCGGGGGGAGGCGTGCTTCCCCCAACCGACGTCGGTTTGCCCGCGTCTCGAGCGGGAGAGCGTCCGGCTGAGCAGGACGCGGAGGTGGCCCGGCGGCTGGGTTTCGACGTGGAGAGGCGGGAGCTGTCGCAGTGGATGGAGTGCATCGAGGTAGGCGTAAGCGGGGGTGGGTGCAAGCAAGCTCGGAGTTGTAGTAGGGTTGTCCTTTGAAACGTGGTGCAAGGGGGTGCTGAGTGCATAGAGGTAGGCGCACGCGTGGGTGGGTGCAAGCAAGCTCGGAGTAGTAGTGTTGTCCTTGTGAAACGTGGTGCAAGGGGTGCTTTGTGCGTTGAGGTGCAAGCGGGGATAGATGCAAGCTCGGCGTTGTAGTAGTATTGCAGATCTCGTCCTGTTGAAGCGTAGTCAAGGGTTGCTGACGGTCTTGGGTGAGGGATGCGGTGGTGGTTGTTGTTGTTGTGGATATCATGATGGATGCTGTAAGGTACTGAGCAGAGACCGGGACAGTTTTTACTGTGTCAAGACCACAACAACAACAACAACGACAACGACAACGACAACAACAACAGCGACTAGTCGTGACCAAGCGGCTCTCTATTCTCGCAGTCACCTCCCCCTTCCGACAGCATGACTTTAATTGCCCTCCCTACATCCCAACACACCGGGCTCCGTGTCCAGGTGTCGTCCGTCACGCCAGACGGCGTGGCAGCCAGGCACGGCCTGCAGCCGAAGGACCTCTTGCTTGCGGTGGATGGAAACCACCTTTTGTCCACAACCGAAGCCAGGTATATTCATTTATTTGTTTCCTCTACTCTTCTACTTACAGCAGTGTTTGGTGTTGACACGGAATTCCGGTTTGGTATTTTTGGCTTGTTCCGAGGCCATTTTTTTTTTTTTTTTTGCCTCTCTGTATAGAAGAGTGTGGACCGTGCTTGGGGGGGTAGTTGGGCCAATGGGACTACTACTGCAAAGTATGGGTGGCCGGCGCTTCAACATCTGCCATCCTGTCTCGAGGCGGCCGCTACCCACCTTGTCCTCCTTCTATCGCTGACTCCCCCCTGGCCGTCGCGCTCTGCTTGTTTCCGTGTCGTGCCGCAACCGCCGCCGCCGCCGCCGGCGCGCAGTTTTTGGCTCGAGGTCGGACGGACCCTTCGAGCCTGCGACTCCGCCTCCCAAACGAACAAGTCCGGCGGCAAGGCCGCTACCACCAACGACAGCGACAACGAAGACGCCTTCGAGAGGCTTTCAGCCGACCACGGCGATGATTCCGATTGGCTGCGGTTCCTGGTGTTCCGAAAATGCGCCGCCGCCGCCGCCCCGCCGCCGCCGCCGCCGCCGCCGCCGCCTCTGGCGTCAGCTGGGAGGGCCAAGCGGCCGGTGGGGAGGCCGAAGGGGTCGATGGAGAGTAAGAAGGGGGCGTTAGCGGGGGGGGCGGGACGAGGCGCCACTGGGCAGAAGGAAGAGGTGCGTGTGTGTGTGTGTGTGTATGTAGCATCGACCGGGTGGCCGGCAAGAAGACGTCAGTCTCAGAGCGGCTGCAAACAGAGAGCCCGTCTAAAGGCCATGATCTGGGAAGGGGCGTCATGGTAGAGACTAGGCTATGTGTCGTGTGGGTGTCCTCGGTTATCGTCGAAAGCGCTATCCGGAAAACCGAAGAGAATGACGTCAGTCTGACTGCTGAGCATGTTTTTTTTTTGGGGGGGGGGGGGGGGGGGAGTTTTGTCTTTT